CCCAGGGCAGGCCAGGAAACCCTGAGCCCAGCTGCCAGAGGATGCAAAGCAACTCTGTCATGGTTCAAGCTGACTGGGACAAAGAACCATACGGTCTCCAGCTCACTCCTCCCACCACCCCGCCTTCCACAGTGATGTGGAGGGAAACAATTTCAACTAAAAAGGCTCAAGGGTTTGAGCTTAAGGATAGGGAGCATAATAATTCACCATTTAAGATGACAGGTAAAGAACCAGAGCGACTTAGGGAGAAAAACCAAAGATTTAATTCACCACCACCATCTATGAGGTAGGAAAGTAAGAGAAACACATCAATAAATAAGACTTGATCTTAAGTACTCTTTGCTCTCCTCCACACCTCCCACCTTCCCAGCTACTTCTTTCTCCTGCATCTATGCAAGGGGGGCAGGGGGTGGGGGGAGCAGTCCATCTGGCCATTACTCATTGTTCATGGCAGCTCCTCCTTGACAAAGAGGGCTTCTCATAGCCTCTCTTTCCTGCTGCATGGTGCCCACCTCACAGGAGGCAGTCCTCTTCCTCCTCATGAGTCCATTGGGGTCATGGATCGCTTCAGACACGTCCCCCACTGATGTTTCATGTCTCTCCCCTCTTGCATGGCTCTCTGCATGTACTGATGCACACTGGCTGTTCCCGCTGCCATCAGTTCCCTCAACTGGCTGGCAATCACCTTCTTGCCATCTCAGCCACCACAGGTCTCCAGGGAAAGGTCCTACTCTGGCAGCCGCCACTGCCTTTTCCTTGCAGACCCTTCTCCCCCTCTTTCTTCTCAAGGTGATGTTCCTTTGTTCTCCTTTCACCTCCCCCTCCTCCACCAGAAGAACTCCCCAACATTAAAGACAGGACAACTCAAAACAAGACAAAACCAAAAGAGAGGAAGAGAGCAATGGGGTCATCTCTTAAATATCTTGATGTCAGAGGCACTCAGTGGCCAGAGGCAGGTCCAAATCCTACCTGGGGGTGGGGGAGGGTCTCCAAGTTTTGCACGAGTCTACGCCTACTTTTATAAAACACTCCATCAGTCTCAAACCCATGACAGTCTCCTTACCTGCAAGCCGCCTCCTATCACTCCTGCACAGCAACTAACTCATTACCCACCCTCCCTCCTCACAGGGTAGAAAAGCCTTGCAGCAAAAGGTCCTCAGTGCACCTATCTTCAGGTGAGAGAGTCATAGTGCAATCCTTTGTCCCATTGTATTTTGGGCAAGACCACCCTAGCGGCTGCTGAGCACTGGTGCCATAAAAGCATTCCAGGGAGACAACATAACACAGGGGTTGTATTCCCACCTGTCCTGCCCTCATGTTATCCATCTTCTGAACAATGAGGATCTGCCAAGCTGTGGGGTTGTGCTTGGTTGTCCCTTGCCTCATCATTTCCATATCTTCCTACAGAAACTCAACAGCTCAACACAGCACTTGTGTTTCTACAGCCCCATGCAACTGTGTCCCAGCAGATTAATTCCTCTTGGAGACAGTTCCGCATTGCACTGTAGCTGCTTCAAGCTGCTTAATACCTATGAAAGGACATTGAACCTTCCCACAGCACACTGCCCTCACATAGGACGTTCACTGAGCAAGGGCACATCTAGGGTACAGGGTGTGAGTGCACTGCTGTGCTGCACGGTCTGCACTGTTGCACCCTCTTCCCCCACAAGGCGATAACAGCTAAATATAATATTTTATCAGCTGATCTAATTTACATTAGAGGTTGGACTTGGAAAAAATCTGGCAATGGGGGTGAAGGTGGCCAAGAGCCCCGGCAGTAAAATCAACAGTATCCCCTGACCCACAAGACATACACGTCTCTCTCCCTCTCATACGTTTATCCTCAGCCAAGTGAAATGTTCTCTTTAAAAATAGGACTGGTTTTGGAGCTTTTGCTGTGATAAGTTACAATTCTAACTTCACTCATGGAAAAAAATACATCTTAAAAAGTATAGCTGAAAACATTGGCAGTGATCCAGCCAAGCCAGAAAAAAAATAAAGAGGAAAAAAATCTCACCACTGCAAAAGCACACATTCTTCTTACAGACCCTTTCATCAAGGCCCTAGGCACACTTTACAAACTTAAATTAAAACATCTAAACCTGCGTGAATAGAAAGCTACTACTCACACACATTGTGGTTATTTGAGGGAAAACAGGACAGAGGAGAGTGCTGTTTGTAGGAGAGTCCCCTTGGTGGAGAAATTTCCCTCTCTCAGCCCACCTTCTTCCCCGAGTTCACCAGCCACGAAAAAAAAAAATCTCCTGTTGCAGTAGGGTCTCCAGTTTTTTACATAAAGATCAGATGGCAGCAAAGACACCTCCAGAGACCTGCAGCAGAGTGATGAGGTAGCCAAGCCTGGGGCCAGCACAGGCTTGAGGGATTCACCAAACCCAGCCAGGTCACTCAAGGGCCTCACACAGCTTGTGTAGATCGACCCACACACACGACCACTGCAGCAGGGTAGGGGCTGTCCCACAGCATGACCCCAGCACTCTGGTAGTGACTCACAACTTAAGTTAGATTTTTGAGCAGAAGGCTGGACTTGATGAAGTTCATCCTAAGACACAAAGAATGGGCTGTCAGGCCATCTGTTAGTGGTTTGCTACGGTAACACCTGAGGAGGTGCGAGACACCAAGTGACAAGAAAAGGGCAAAACTATTTTTAAAAAGAAGGGGAAACTGAACACCCACACCTTAACTGCAGTCCTCAGGGAGATACAGGGATAAAGCTCTTACAAGCACCTAGAAGAATGCAGGAAGAAAAAGCAACTCTTTTATTTGTTTGAAACAAAAACAGAGCATGTCACACCTATATCCCTTGGAAGAAGGCTGCCAACCTTGTGCAAAGGGATAAGCCATAGGCATTATACGTTCCTGATTTTACCAAGGCTTGTAAAGTATGCTCCCAAGGTACTTTTATGGTCAAGCTAAGGAAACAATTCAAACAAAACCACAGAGGAACAGCACAAAATTGGTAGACAAACTATGTGCACAGATTAATTGTTAAGTCTGTGGTCAAAAATGGTTTGTGCTTTCCCAACCCTAACATACCTACATCTCCTTCCTGTATCCCTAATCATGATCTGGCTCAGGGCTGGCTGTCAGACACTCACACTGCAGCCTTCCTTTGGTGGGATAACTAGTCTGCCTCACCTCCTTCATCCATCTACCACTTTTCATGAAACTTGTAGGAGTTTAATGTCCTGGGAGCATCTGCTTCTCTGTCAAAACAGAATGAAACTGGTCCGTGAGTTAAAGCATTATTGAGACAGGAGTAAGACGAACAGATAGCAGGATCTTTCACAAACTGGTGTGGAAAGCTGTTCATCAGATGCATCCGAACGGCACTTCAATTAGATAGGAAAAGTCAACAGCCTGAACACACAGTGGAGAAACAACTTGCTAGACAGCAAATCTGCAGGACGTGAGCCTGCCAATTGAGAGCCAAGCACAAGCAGTGCCGTGCTGTCACACACACAGAAAATCAAACATCCTACTGGGATATGTAAACGGGACATAACCCACAAGGCAGAGGGGAAACCTCTGCAGAGAGCCTCACGTGTGGTTCTGAGCACTCATGCCGCAGGAGAGACAGCTAGGGTCAGGGCAGCAAAGAGAAAAGCTGCATGAGGTCCAGAAAACACAACCCGCAGAGAAAGGCTGAGCAAACTGGAGCCAGACAGTACAGACAGAGGTGGCTGAACAGGGAAACAAGAGCAGTAGTCTTCAAACTTAGGCAAAAAGTGCTTTTACAAGGAGAAAGGGACCAAAGTTCCTCAGGATACAGGAAAGTGAAGGACTTGAACAGATTATTTAGATGGTCTGTGGTGTCTCCAACCCTCCCTATGGTCAAATGAAGCAGGGTCATACACATCTGCCACAATTTCCATAGGGCTGCTTTTGCCCGAGTATAGTGTTTTCAGTGTCACCCTGATGCCTAACCTTACAACCTACTGGCACCACATCCCACTTTCCTCAGTTAGGGGTTGAGTATCCCTTGACTCATAGGAACTGGTTAGAAATTGCCTTTCCTCTAATGCGTCAGCCAGCCAACATTCACGTAGTAGAGCTCCTCAGCCTTGAAGAGGTGAGCCTGAGCTGGATCCCAGAGCACAGAGGAGCTGTCCTGCAAGCATACACATGTTTTTTTTATTACATGGTATAACCTGGAGGATTCTCATACTAGGTCCCAGCTGTGCAGCTCCCTGACCCACAGACAGCCCAGGCATGACAGCCTGGATGCTGCCTTATCCTACAGCACTCCCAGCAAACGAAGAAGCTAGAAAGTCTTTGTACATTCATCTCTAAGATGGTTTGGTGTCCACTTCTTCCTTCTGGGATCCAAGTCTCCAGGTGAGTCCCTTACCAGGTCAGAAGGATTCATTTGTTGCGGATGGCTGTGGTACCTCTGCTACAGATTTTCTTCAGCTTCAGCCAGTTTTGCTCAGTCCTCACTTTCCTGTGACAGTTTTTGTGAAGAAGACCCAACTCTTTGGGCACAGGCACTCTCAGAATGAGGGGATAGCAGTGTCTAAAAGCTTCCCCAGCAAAGGGTGGGCAATGCCTTAAATGGGACACCAGCACTTCATTTTCAGCTTTGCCATATAGCCTGCACACCACATAGACTTTGTTAAGTCACCTAAAATGAGTAGTAATTTGATACTTGCGTTGCAGCGCAGAAGGAGTTTTCCCTTATACCTCTAGAGGAATAACACCACTTCCATCCACAGTGGGAGACACATACCGCAAGGACCTCAAATAAACCACAATGAACAGTGTAAAATGGGTGGGTACCAAACCTAAGAAACAGATCTGTTACAAAAACCCCATTTGCTTAGTTATTCAAAACTGCTTTGTTCCACTCAAAGTAAACACACAATTTCAAGGATTCATTACAAGAGCTACTACATAACAATAAAAAGTCCCTCTGCAAGTACTTGTTTCTCCTCAACTGTCCAGCTCTGCTCCTTCAAGTGACATCTGCCATTATAAACCAGCTAAGTTTTCTTGGCCCCTCCAGCCCATTGCATTTCCATCAGTTCGTCTCCTCTGATGCTGCCCTTCTTGCTTTTTTTGAAGTACCAGCAGAAGACAGCAAGGGCCAGGAGTAGAATCAAAACCAGTGGTAAGTATAGGATGAAGTTCAGCAGTGGTGGGGATGAGCAGATCCTAGACAAAACAGTTGACTCTGAAGGGAAAAAAAAAAGAGAAAGAAAAAGTGAGGCCCCAAGCTAGTTTGAGTTTCTCTGTCATACTGTTTCTATAGGTTATCTTCTTAACACTTTTCCCCCTAATCTTCAACAGCCAGCAATTTTTAAGAATTCATACAGGCTACCTGCAGAGAAGGGGGAGAGAAATCAGGTAGTTTGTCTCAATTCCTTGTTTTGAGAGGTCAGCTAGGGCCCTGCCTCATTTGGCTCAAACATTGCCACAGAAACAGCCCAGCTCATCAGCTAACACATTCCAGACTGGGCTGAGAAAGGAAAAGCCACATACGCTTTACCCTCTGGGTCCCTGCCTGACACCAGCGACAGTGGGGTGTGGTAAGAAGTCTGTCAGAGGCCACACTGCTGAAGAAGGAAGGACAACGGGAAGGCAAAGGAAAGCACATCAAGGAGGTCCCTGTATCCCCTAGACACCTGTCCCTTCTTGCTTCTGCTGCTCTGCTTTCCTATTTCAGCCATGCCGAGCTGCCGGCAGCTGTGAGCCCCATCACCATCCCTGGCAGCTCCTGCAGAACAGCTCCCCAGACGGGGTGAAGGCTGCCTGTACTGCTGGTTGACCCTCTGGGTACTTCAAAACAACTTGTTTGATCAGTCCCATGCTAGCCAAAGAGCTATCATTTGCAGCCTCTCCATTTTTATTCTGGGCTCCTTGCTGCCACCCATTATTCCTGGCTGTCAAAATCTCACTTGACACAGAGCTTCAACACCACAGGCTGACCTCAGATGCACCTGGCCTACCATGAAGCATCATGCCAGCTCTTTTAGGTATGTTTCATCCATCTTAAAGTGTTACTCCTCAATTCTCCCCTTTCATCAAGACTCTTGTGCAAATGTTTTCACACTTGCTCTGCAGAACGATTCTGAGCATGCTGGTCTGCTAATACAAAGCTGTCCATGGAGGATCCACACAGGCTGGTGGGCTAGGTATAACCCTAGGGATCAATCAACCTGGGAGCTACTCCTAGCTGTGAAACTGGCTTTTACCTCTCTACCTCCGAAGCTCTGCGCTCCATGCACATTGATGCAAGAACCATTTACTCTCCTATAGGAAAGCACGAATGCCTCTATAGTACTGGGAAGCATCCTAAAAGGTAGCATCAGGGATTAGATCTGAAGTTACTCCTGGTTACTTTCACATGGCTATGTCATTTACCCCTGGGAAAATTCTGAAATTCATAAGCCAGAGGAGCATTTTGAGATACCTGCACGACTGGGGAAATACATATACAAAAAAAAAGAAAACCAAACCAAACAACCCACCACAAGAAGAGAGGAAAAACAACACCCAGCTACTGTCTTGGATCTTATGAAAACCACGTGGCATAAAACACTTAGACAAAATTTGGAGAAGAATTTCCCAGCAGATACTGTGCAATTTTAGCAATGGTTACTCCACCAGTAACGGGTAACTAAGCTGATGAAGGAGACATCTGAGTACTAGAGGGAGCCGTGATGGACAACAGCAGGAACATAACAGCAGGGGGATGAAGCGCTGTCAGTCCCTCCCTATGCAATTAAATCCAGATTAGCTCTGCTGTAGGTACAGAGTCATGCGAGCAGGCTCCGTGTCTGCCTGTGCCAGTAACAGGCACAAGGGAGAGCGCTACAGGGTTCACTGAGCTCTTCCACGTCGGTCAGCATTGGTAATTACTGCAGAAGCTATCATCACATGTAGGCACCCAGGCCAGCTCAGGAACAGCAATACCAGGGCTGAAGGCATGAGAAGAACTAACTGCAGCATCCTCTCAGCTGGGTGCAACACAACTGATTTCACAGTTCATCTTTTTTCCTCCACATGGGTCATTCAAGCCCCTTATTTCCCCAAAGAGGCAACAAGACAGCACTTTTCCCCTGCCTGTTACCTCCCTGAAAAAGCACCGTGTGTCTCTGACTGAAACCTTTCCTTTTACTTGCTTGAAATTCTGTATGCAGAATCCATCTCTATCTATGCCCCTGGCACACACCCCAACTCATCCCAAGAGGACAGAGGCTATTTTTAGTAGACCTTACTGGAGACAGACTTGCCAGAAAAATCACACTGAGAGTTTTTTCCCAAAACTCTTAACATTCTGACCCCAATGCCACAACTGAGAGCAAGGGTTTGTGCCCATGGTCCTGCGGAGAACCCACAAGCCACAAAGCACCACTGACACAAGTGCACTTAATATACCCCCTTTGGAGCACGTTTCACAGTAGAAGCTCTTGGTATCTCATCTGACCACCAACTCCAGTGTTTACAAGGCCAAGCACCTGGGTTTCAGCCCTGGCAGATCAACAAGAATGGGAATGGAATCTCATCCTGTCTCCCACTCAGCTCATAGCACATGTCTCTTGAAGGGCTCTCCCCTCCCTTCCCTGGCCCCCAGCATAACTCTAGTGATCTCCCCAGCACTGATCCCCTCTGTAATCCTTTAGCAAGACCTACCAGCCCTGCTGCATCCTTGCCATTGCAGCCAGCATTGTCAGCAGAATACTGCCATGACCCATCCCCACTTCCTTCACGCCAGCACAGCTAAGGGGGAACCAGTGAGGGGTGAGCAGACCCTTGAACCCAGTGACATTACCTGGTGGGACAGGAGTGAGCTGGGTGTGCTCCGAGTATGCTACAGCTTGCAAAGTCCAGTTCTTCCCCTGGCTGTCTTGCTGCCACTCCTGCACCAGGCAGCGATAAACGCCGGCATCACCCTCCTCCACACCGCGCAGCATCAGGCTGAAGTCACCGGTGGTGGGGCGGCGGAGGAACAGCCTCCCCGCCAGGCTCTCCAAGGGGTACTCGATGGCACCGTCAAGGCGGAGGGGGAGCACGGGTCTGGTGTGACCGCT